CCCTCTCTCTCTGCCCCTAACCCACTCGTATTCTGTCTCTGTCTCTCTCAAAAATAAATAAACATTAAAAAAAATTTAAAAAAAAAGGATCATTCCAAAGAACAGGAAAAACACTCCAAATCTTGTTAATCCCATTCCAACGTTCTGGGTGTCCGTTAGGGAGATCATGGCTGCCGTGGTAAGGGCAGTGGCTAGAGCATCTCCCCTATTTTTATTTCTTAAATGAACATTTTATAAGGTTGAATTGATTATATATATTTGAATTTTAACCTTCCTAATTTGATATTTTAAATTCAAAAAATAAATAGCAGTGGGATTTCTACGAATACTATAAATGAAAATAGTGAAATTTGACCCTTAGTACCAGAGATGAACTCATTATTTCTGAAAAGGCTTATGCAAATGTCCTCTCAACCTAAGCATGTTAGGAACAAGTACCACCAGGTATGCAGATCATATATTTGCCATTAAAATGTTTATGCATTAAATAAAGACTTAGTGAGTGTGGTACTGTGTACATGATACTGCGTGACAAGGACCCTGCACACTTCCGGTGGGGAGCTAAGTACACAGATAACTAAAACATCAAGTAGTCGGTAAGAAGCCATAGAAGAACGTTGCTGATAAAGTTCAGAGATGGGATCAGGGAATGCTTTTTGATGAAGTGACATTGGACACGTGAACCTTGAGAAATGTGTCTAAAAACATTCTAGAGTACCCACAACCAATCATTCTTACCTGTCGTTTCCATATAGTACTCCAGTCTTCTGGATGAGACTCCTGCATCCTATGGTGGCAGAAATAACTACTGGCGAAAATTAAACCTCAAAAACATCCCCAGGACGATGATAATATATGACACAGTTCATTATGCAGAGTCTGGAATAATCTCACACCGTCTACAAAAAGAAATGAAGTATCTGTTACAGAAGCCACAAACGGAAGAGATGCGTAAGCACCAGCTATGGATTGTTTCTGAAGTTAGGTAAAAGTGACATTTTACCTGGGTTGCGATACTAGGGGCATTTCTGAAAATGTTCACTTTCTGCCAAATAGCTCATGAAAGATAATAATAGGGCATATGGGAAAAACAGGGTTGGGGCAGATTGCTCTAAACTTCTGCATCTTTGTAAACAGAACACTAACAAAAAGGACAATTGGAACCTGGGGAGACAACTTGCACCAGCAGATAGGCAGCTCAGGATGGCTGGAGGCCAGCACAGAAAATATAAAACATGTAGAACGATCGAGTGGAAATTCTGGCATCTCTTTAATGAGAGCAGGTAGTGGGCACGGTGCTAGCGCAGATGGAAGTGTGGCCCTGGGCTAGTGTGGTTGCCTTGTAAGTGGACACGAGAGGCTAGGCAACCTGCCAATAACCAAAACCCCCTCAAGGTGGGGAGTATGGTGGAGCGCCGTAAGGGTGGATCGTGGGCTGAGGGGTGCCACTCTGGGGAGAGAGCCCTAGATGCAGGTGCTAATTCTCGTTTTCATAAATACAGCCAAAAGGGCTCCCGTTGCCTGTGGCACACAGGGCTGAGGACCTTCTTTCCTTTTCTGCCGAAGGTTCTAATTCTCCTCTTGCTATCCCGGCTCTCCTTGCTGAGGACAAATTGCATATAAATTACAGTGACATTATTCCGTTCTTTAGCAATAACATGTGAGCCAATTCACATTATAGAAACTCATGTTGTAGCAAAATAGACTGTATTATGATCTGAAACAGTATGGACAGAATACGACTGCTCTCATTATATTCCTTTTTTTTTTCCATTACAAGTTTCACCTAGCCCATCTTATTTACAAGTGAAGAGCTTTCTTTCTTGAGAAAAAGAAAGAGGTAATCAGATTGAAGAGGATGTATTGGTAGTCAATTTCCACAGAGTCATACTTGAAAGGAAAAAAATACTCGGTTAGTACATGAAGAAGACACTGGTGACCCAGCATCAGGCAAATGCGCTGGATTTTTTCAGGGCTAGAGATGAGTGGTGCTGCCCCAATAATATAATTTAGCCCATATATTTTATGATCAAGGGTATACATTTGCCAGACAGATGGCCTGGTGTAGGGGGCAGTCTGTCATCATGAAATAGACTTTCTCTAACTCATCCATATAAGCACTGAATATAGAACTTAACCCTATTACCACCAAGGCCAAATAAATGATGTAATTTTCTCTGCCACCATGTATAACCGTCGGCTCCTTGCTATTTGAACCCTTGCCATTGATTGTCTAAGATGAGTCACTGGAAGAGCCAAATTAAGTAGCCAAATTCTAAATCAATTAAAGAGGTAAAAGTATTTTCTTACAGGTTTCTATGAATGCAGTATTAGTTTGGGATCTCCTGGGAGATCAAAGATTTGAGTATGAGTAGTTTATCTGGGAGGTGATCCCCAGAACCATCCATGGAAGGGAAACAGGGAGGGGCAGGCTGCCGAAACAGTGTGTGTCAGCAAACAGGTTATCTCTGCGGGTAAGTGGAGTTTAATCCCTCCCGGGAATGTCCAAGCCATTGTAGAACACGTGACTCAACTTATCCTGCAGGGGCAAGGGAGCTGGGATATGTATACGCCAATGTGCAGTAGTCATTGGCTAAGGACTGCTTAGGAGGTGAGGTAGTAATTCTCGGGCACTTCCTCCACACATGGGCTCCTGTTTTCGCAAGCAAGCCCTCGGGCTGAGTGAGGCCAATGCTGTCATTTGGAAGCTGGGCCTATGTGCTTTGCAGTGGTAAGGCTTAGGGCGTGGCACCACCTGTATCTGATCCCAGCACTGATAAAAACAGCTTGTTTTCGGCCATTATGAAATTTACCCATTTTTTGGTGTTAGTATATGGTATGTTAAAAAAGATTCAAGTGGCTACTACATGGTATTTTCCAGGAAAACGGATTTTAGATTGATACCATGTTTTATCATTTTCACCGTCATTGTGGTCCACGTCCTCATATATACACCTTCATAGGTGACAGATAAGGAACTGTGCTGTGGAATTTAAGCAGAAATGATAACTTTGGCATAAAAAATTACATGCAGTACTGCTCCAAAAACTGAGGTCTATGATACATTTGCTGGAAGATGCTTTAAAAAAATAGGGAACTTGCTGTACATTTAAATGTTATTTTGTGCATTTTTTTCTGTCTATAATACAAATCTTTTCTAGATGCCCTTCATCCTTTCCAACTAGCCAACCTTTGTATGGGCCCTACCAACAGCAGAGTCAAATTCAACATCTGGGTCGTCGATCTAAGCAAGCTCAAATGAAAGTCGAAAAAATGAAAAAAGCTTACAAGATGGCTAAAGAAAAAAATGCTTCTGTGGGGACTGTAAGTTGAACTTGTACTGAATTCATTGTTTTGTACACTATTCAAACTGTAAGTAATTCTACTTCTATAAGTAGAATTTTCCTTATCTCCAAGGTGAAGGTTGAAATGCCTTTGGTATCTACTTAGATAGTCTAAAGCTATGTTCCTCTTGGTGCCCCATGTTTTAAAAATTCTTCAACAATAGAGCTAACCTGATAAATATTGGCTGTTTGGGCTCCGCATCAGTATGAGGTGGTGAACGACAACAGCAGCAATGAAAAACTGTCGTCTCTGTACGTTGACGCTGTCAATTCAGCATGATGCTAATGGTGATTTTTGTCAAAACAAAATCCATTTCTATCTAAACTTACAAAAGCGGTATGTGTAAAGTCGCCCTCAGTATATTCCTACATTGTAGGAATATTGACAACCAGTGCGTATTGATGTGTTACTTTGTAATTCTTAAAGAATCTGCTCTAAGTTTTTTACGAGGAGGCTAAGTATAAACAGTCACTATGAAAACAAAGTAGTAAAAACCAGTTTTTTTCCGTCTTTTATTTATAATTCTACCTAGGAACCACAGACAGATACATCACGTAAAAAGCAAAAAAAGACAGTCATCTTCTCCTCCCCATCTTCTGACATCATGAGGGTTGAACCCATGTCAGATGAGGAATTGAAAAAAGAAGAAAAGGAATTATTTGCCTGGTGTCAAGGCTTATGTATTAATAGTTCTCCATCATATTAATGCACAGCTAACTGATAGAAACCCAAATCATTTAACAATGTGCTTGTCTTGCTAATATGAGTATTAAAGGACAATGAAATGTCCACAAGCCCTCAGGATGCTCTCTTAACCAAATAAATGTGTGACTGATTCTTAAGCCCTTTTTGTATTACTAGAAGTACAAATATTTTTTACTGACAAAATTTTAATCTGAATAAATTATTTCTAGTAGATGCCCTCGAACTAGCTGTATACAGTTTGAGTCAAGAAATGATGTGCAAATTAGTCCCTGGAATTTTTATTCAATTTTGATTTTCCTTCATTTTTGAAAAGCATCTGAACAGGTCATGCTTAGCATAAATATCAGAATTCACAGAAGAAAAGATTGCTCTTGAGTCAGCTTCCAGTTCCTTTTTTTTTTTTAAACTGGCATGTTGTCTTCACAGAGCACCTTGTGATAGACCTATTCTAAATTATAATAAAAATAATAATGAATTTTTTGCTACAATAGGCATGACATAGCATACCTAATCATTATCCAGGATCCTAAGGACCTGGGGCAGAACGTTGTGCATGCTTTCAACTTGTATGTGAATATTTTTCAAATATTAAAATTGTTTTGAGGAATATTCATCAATTTCCTTTTGAATTGATAATTTTATTCCTGATATAGTATAAATTATTGATACTTCTTGTGATCTAGGCTATTGGATTATATCAAACCTTACCAGCAGCTATGATAATTAAACAAAGTGTATTCTTTATTGAACTATAAAAATACAATTTTTTCTTTGGTTTACAATTTAAAATGTGAAGATCGACTGCTGATTTAACTCAGGCAAAGCAGCCTATAAATGGATCTCATTTGCTTTTAAAACATCCTCTCTTTTAAAAAAATTTTTTAAATGTTTATTCTTGAGACAGAGACAGAGCATGAGCGTGGGAGGGACAGAGAGAGAGGGAGACACAGAATCCAAAGCAGGCTCCAGGCTCCGAGCTGTCAGCACAGAGCCCGACGGGGAGCTCGAACTCACAAACTGCGAGATCATGACCTGAGCCGAAGTCAGATGCTTAACGGAATGAACCACCCAGGTGCCCCATAAACATTCTCTCTCTCTTTTTTTAAATGTTCATTTATTTATTTTGAGAGAGAGAGCACGAGATGAGGATCGGCAGAGAGAGAGAATACCAAGCAGGCTCCGTGCTGTCAGCACAAAGCCTGATGTGGGGCTCAAAGTCACAAACCGTAAGATCATGATCTGAGCCAAAATCAAGAGTCGGACGCCTAACGGACTAAGCCATCCAGGTACCCCTGTTAAAACGTTCTCTTAAATGATGAGGAATATTGGAGTAAATGCATATGATTCCCACTAGAATATATTTAATATAAACATGTACTCTTCACTATAATATATTATCATTTGATATCCAAAATTAGGATGGACAATCCCCTTGTTTTCAGACCTTGTACTGGACACTGGTTGAATAGAAAACACGTATTTGTCCTCATGAGTCATATGTACTGTCATTCATTAAACTGGGAGGCAGTCCCTCATTCAATCAAATGTATATCCAGTTCAGTCTATCCATAGTATGTGTAACAACAAAACTAAGGAAGATTTGAGATAACAAGATGAAAGAAGAAGACAAAGGAAGGACAGTCTTTACATTTCAGGGCACCCACTTCTCATATTTCATTGGCTCTGACTTTGTCCCACTGCAATGCTTCGCTACAAGGGAGACTGGGAAATGTACACTTGTTTGGGGCAGATATGTACCCAACTAAAATTCTATTGTTATAAAAGAAAAGGATAATGGATATTAAGGCATAAGTAGCATCAGCTGCCAGACAGAGATCATGTCTTCTATTGATTATCTTAACTCACATTAAACAGTGTAACCACATCACAGAAAATCTTTTTAAAGGTAGAATTACACATGATCTCATCACTATAACAACTGTTTTCATTTGCTTTTATCTTTCTAATCTAAATACACACATATTTGGGGGCACCTGGGTGGCTCAGTAGATTAAGTGTGTGACTCTTGGTTTCAGCTCAGGTCATGATCTCACAGTTTGTGGGTTCGAGCTACACATAGGGCTCTGTGCTGGTGGTGAGGAGCCTGCTTGGGACTCTCTCTCTCTCTCTCTCTCTCTTTCTCAAAATAAATGAATAACTTAAAAAATAAATACACACATATGTTCACATGGTGGTAATCATAAGTAACTTACAGATTTAAAATTTTTACTTAATATTATATCTAAACATAGTGCATTTAAAAAATAATTTTTAGGGGCGCCTGGGTGGCGCAGTCGGTTAAGTG